AAGACTCGCTAGACGCTTCGAAGATTCAAAACCGTTCCAAATAGTTAATTTGGATCTATGAGTAAACTTGAATATGAACTTCTTCATGCACTTATTAGTTTATTTTCCATTTATCCATTCATGTGTTAGTACTCAATCTTTCAGCTAASTCATATTTAACGGTACCCTGCAAGCAGAGTCTCCTTTTAACTCCTCTACGGACGAGAGAAGGAAAGGAGACTCTGCTCGCAGGGTAATTTATTTAATGGACGACGAACGTGCCATTAAAAAAACGTAAATTGAAAGGATTAAGCAGTGGATGGCTCTTCTTCAGCCTATGAATCCAATGTAGTTTTTGGAAATGATGGTTTTYTTTCCGGAAGGAGGTAAATTGGAGTTCGAGACAGATTAGATATCGAAGAGAATCGAAACTCGACAAAATATATCCATTCATTTATTAGAATTTAAAGCGTTCCATTAATCAAACCCATTCATCAATTTGCCATTAGTCTAGTCTTTGCTCTCCAGGCTTACATCATATCAATCTACCCTTTTTCTTAGGACAATTTGCTTATTGAATTTAATTGGTCTCAAATCTTCCCATTCTCGGGAAACCAGGAGAAAAGTTCTGTCGGTCGTTTCTCTCTCCCAGAAAGAAAAAATTCTGGAAGCGAAAAAAAATTTTCTGAAAATTTTTTTCCCCTGGAAGCGAGAAACAAGCGACAGAGCTTTACCCATGGTTTCCCGAGGATGTAAACAAGGCYTGTACTGTATAATCCCATTAATCAACTCCATCATCAAGTGGAGAGCACCCCGATTGACCTGCAATTTTTCTTCTAAACGTTTTATTTCTCAACTAATTCGTGTCTCAAAGCTGGCGTTTGACATCCGATTTCGAGGAGCTTCGTATGTGAATTACTCAGTTCTCAGATGCCAATCCAGTCCATTCCTCTTTCGGCTTTTCAGTCCTAGAAATGAATCCCTAGAAACATTTTAGTGGTAGGGCTTTGGATATCCAGCCTATTCCGTCTCTAATTTCCTTTCTCGCTAATGACTGAAATGCTAGCTCCTAATCAATTTAAAATTCGCGAGACAATTGACGGCGCTTTTTCAACACTCATTTTCTAGATATATTTACTAGGGTTTGGTCTGTTATTAGATGGCAAGCCTTTGAATCCATTYCTTCCCTTCCTTTCAAGCATTGGGCGAAATTTTTTTGGGGGAAACGAATAAGCAAGGTCAACGATTTTCTAGGAATTGGCAAGGTAATTGGGCGTAAAATCCGACCCATATACAGCATAATGATTTCTTCCTGTTTGGATTATGGAAAAAAATTAAAATGCATATGACACGAAAAAATTTAATGTTAAAATGTGTAGTTTACTGGCATTAGTAAGAATATCCACCGTTAAATCTGTTTAAAAAACGTATTTCTCTAGAAATTCAAGAAAATTTAGCACAAGTTGTGACGTCGTTTTGTTTATAGGTCTCCAGATTTCGTTGCAAATACACGAAATATGTCACAAATTGGGATTAATTTTCTCAAATATCTCAAGAAACAAGCTTTTGAAACCAAATTTTATTACGATATATTTATTATTACTAACAAACTATAAATTTTATACGATGAAATGTTTTCGTGTCATATACACTTTAAAAGTTTGTATTGTAAGTTGTAGATTGTCCTCGCGTCTGTCACGCAACGTTTCCCTGTCTACGTTGCGTGACAGACCCTCAGAACKTCTGAGTAGGAGGCATCCCTCACATTATCAATTTTCTCTCCGTTTTGAGACAAGCGCCCATATTTGCTATGCATTGAAATTTACCTCACGTGGCTTACCTAACTTCCTCTCGTAAGCCCATATTTGGAAGTCGCGGTTTCTTGGTTGAGCACTTCCGGGAGTGACTGCCCCTCGCCACGTGGTATGGTTTTCGGGAGGAACTTTCGTGAGCAGTTTTCGTGATGATTCAAGAGTCCCTCGCGTAGTCTTATCTCCCTACGCATCAGGCTTCTAAAGGGTTTTGACAACCCGCTTTACTTCCTCCGCCATGGGGTGGTCAAAGTCTGCTAGAATAATTCTTGTGGGTGYTCTCATTTGGTCTGACTATAAAAATACACTCTTGAGATGTTATCGCTATGAACTGATGCGATAAATGCCCGCAAGCAAACATTGTGGTCATATGTATCCGATGTGGTCGAGCGATAAAATAAATAGCATAGACCGAACAAAACCAAACCCAATGTAGAAATTCAAGGTTTATAGAATCCGTTAAAAAAAAAAAAAATAGTGTCTCGTATTTTCTGGATTAGAATGCCCATTGGCAACAATTAAATTATAAAATTTTTTTTATTTTTATATCTATTTGAATTATATTTGAATTCAATCTTTATTAGTGATGAATATTTTTAATAAATGCCATTCTCTCTGCATATCATAGTTTATATTCTTAGAGCTGAGGTTTTGTTGTTGTTCTTGTTGTTTTGTTCTCGTATCTTATATATTTATATTTTCGCAGTTTCATTAATGAACGTAGTAATAGGCGTAGATAAGAATCATTTTGTGTTATAATACAGTCTACAAAACTACTACAGAAGTACAATTAAATCCCTTATAGTACACTCAACAAAATTACTCAACCCTTATTGGTCGAGAGGAGTACAATTATAGCGTTAGGAGTACCGAATTAAGTCGCTATGGCAACACGGCCAAAACAATTATTTTCTATCATTTTGTACTTAAAAAACATATAAATAAAATCTTAAAGCCGTGAGAACTAATCATTTTATGCATTTCAGTTGCGCGATGGACTGAAAATCGGCCGCCAAATAGACAAAGATGAACGGCGTCGCTTCGCATTTTTTACTGAAAATTTGTTGAGTGAACTATAAACAAAAAATCGCACGATCTTCTCGTGCGATTTCCTATACTAATTCTAGTCGCAGAAAAAAAAATTCTAATATTTCCAAATATGTTTTTAATCATACCGTTAACTGTTTGCGATGCTTATCGCAAAATTCCAGTTCCCAATTACATCGAGACCTGAAATTTCTTGGGTTTCAATGAGGGCGAGACCCAGGAAAAAATGTGAAAAACATTTCTGTGTAGTCAGTAAACAAAAGACCTCTTTACCTTGGGCGTAAAGTTTTCCATTTCAGACCACGTGTCATTCTCTTGAGAACAAGATTCTTTGTTTGAGTTGTATCCATATTCATGTGTCTTCTCGCGTGCAACCGTTGTCCAAATGGGAAAACATTACGCCCAAGGTAAAGAGGTCTAGCCGTCTTCGTCGAGCGAAAAACCATCTGCAGCGACTTCCCACCCATATTATTACTGATTATCCTTCGACCTTAATCGATATTTAAGAGAGCGAACGGATGCTTATCTAGACCATACGCCCGGACATGGGTTTRCGCCAGAGTTGTATGCGGTATTCAGAAAACGAGGCCCGTGTTGTATGGTCAAAATGATTTGCGCTTCTAGATAACCGCGAGCGATAAAACAGTATTAGGAAGAAATACGTKGATTGATTCAGGAACGCACCTAAGAAAATTAACTGACCGGTATCCGTCCATAATTCAATACGAAAAATCGTAGTTGATAACCATGTGCGCTTAAAACTAAGTCAATATTTTAACAGTAGTGCTTCCTTGGAAAGGGTTTGATTAGGGACTTTAAGATTTGCAAAATCTGCGACGGCGACGTCAAGTTTAAATTGCTTCGCTTTGGGGCTTCGTGCCTTCAAAATCTGTCTTCATTGTGGATGAGTTGACTTTACTGACAACGTTTTGAATAAAATCTCCAATGAACAGAWCCCCAAAGAGAAATCATTTACACTTCCGGTTGACATCGCCGTCGTAGATTTTGCRAATCTTAAAGTCCCTATTTCTCGCAGAAAACCCACATGACTTATTAGTAAGACAAGCGAGGAATCAGTCTATGATAGCGGGTTTAAAGAACGAAGCAAGCGAATCTTCTTGGTGGAAGTTACTATTGTGGTTAAAAGCGTTACGTTTATTACGGGAAAATAAGTGCTAATTCGAATTTCAGAACGAATAAAACCAAATAAAGAAATAGAAGGAATTCTTCGATTAGGAAAGAATTGGAGTCAAGAATTTAACATTGAGTAGCCGTGTCGTAAAGYTCTGGATGCGCTGGATTCGAGTTCCGCTGTTAACTGGATGAGCAACTAACGATTGATATGTCCGTGTATATTATTTTAGAACAAGATGGCTCGCTTATTTCATTTATACAATTAAAGTATACTGAATCGCTTATTTAAAAAAAAATTCATTTCATGTGCGCAATGTATGCAAAATGCTTCAAAAATGCGAAAATTATTTTCTCACGTCTACAATACTGAAACAACATTAAATGTAGACAGTAGAGTAAAGTATTGTATGGATACACAGATAATGAAGAGGAACAATAATGTTGGTATATGACTGTGTAACAACATGGTAAGTGGAGACAGTAGACTAAAATATTGTATAAATACACAGATAATAAAGAGGAACAATAATGTTGGTATAGGACTGTGTAACAACAAGGTGTAAGTGTAGACAGTAGAGTAAAGTATAAGCGTGTCACCCATAAGATAACGGAAAACTCCCACAAGGGGAACCGGCACAACGAAAATACGTAAAAAACGAAAGTACTAAATCGTCCCTGCTGTATGGCTCTTTCTTCTCTCATTCTCTCTCGTTTTTATTCTCCATTTTCACTTCTGGAAGTCATTATATAGTTTTCTCTGAACTACAACAACGCGCTTTAAATTCTACACATCACAAACCAAGGCACATATCCTGCAACTAAGAAGATAGCCGCCCTAGACCACAGTCTGTGCAATCCCATTTATGACTACGACTATTCAGGAGGCAGACGGCAACGCCAATACTAAATATATACATCAAAATACTTGAAGAAAGGATGTCCAAATTGACATCAACAATTGATATGAGCTTGCGCAACATAACTGAAGAATTTAAGGATCGATTTTCGTCGTTTTTTAGCAAAAAAAAATTAATCAAATCAGTTTTTTATTTAATAGTCAACATAAAGCGCCAAGATAAAAATCCGCGCTCAAACTTTAGAATTCCATACAAAACTTGCGGCGTTTTAGTATTTTAAGTCGAAGTCGATATAGGATTTGGAACGATTGGTAGGATTTGAAATATCCACAGGTAAGGTATGGCGGACGCTAGTGACGTACTATAGATTAGACAATTTGACATTTCAAGTCATGTGTATTTTTTTAAATTTAAATTATATATCAGCTTCATGTCATAAGACTATAAGCTCCATGTCATGAGAATAAGCTCCATGTCATGAGAATAAGCTCCATGTCATGATAATAAGAATCATGTCATGATTTAATAAGATTATTGGTTAGAGTGGGTAATATTGCAGCCATTCTCAATCACACGCGCCCTCTAGCGATTGTTTTTGTGGCGACGAAGGAGGTTTTTAGTGGACTTCAATCACAAGGCGTTTCCATAACATTGTCGGAAAACACAAAGCTATAAGGGCACGTGCCTATAGAATGTCATGGAAACGCCTTAATTGACGTCCATCAAAAGCTTCTTCGTCGTGACAGAAACAATCGCTAGAGCGGMGCGTGTGATTGAGAATAGCTGTAATGTAACTTTTCAAATAACTTGTGGATTTAAAATCCACGAGTTAACAAYGATAAAGAACACAACTCAAAGGAATCTCCAGTGGTTTACATCGTATCGGCAATATGGTCTTGTCCAACTAACATTTTTGAGGTATTATAATACATTAAAGTGTCAAATCCGCTCTGAACAGGCAGAGCAGAAAACGTTACACCTACGTAACGAGTGCGTCTGTTAAACGCGATACGCACGCTAAAATTAATTATAGCATCAACTTAAAGCCGGACTGAACAAGGTACCCAACCACTTTTATATTACATTTTTAATCTGTAAAGACCGGTTTAGACGGTACGATTTTCGYCTACAACTATCGTATACAATACGCTCGCGCCATCCTACAACTCGAGTCGTAGCGTGTAAATCAAGCCTACAACTCGCCTACGACGGACGCGGGCGTGTTGTATGCGATAGTTGTAGGCGAAAATCGTACCGTCTAAACTGACCTTAATGAAGTGCGGTTAGAGCTATGGTACACTTGTAACACCGACGCTCTGTTTCTTATTGTAGAGGGAATGATCAATAAAACTTCGGTATTTCGGTAAAACGGTACTTCTTTGCATGTTACAACGTGTGACTCTCSTTCCCATTCTTTTGCCTTCATTCCCAACCGAAAAACCCTGGTAATGAATACTAAAGTATATCTATAACGCATTAAATACAGTATACCATTAACTTGCTACCAATGTCTGATTTGTACCATCATGCCGGAAAAGTTTTACATTTTACTTCGACTGAGCCCAAAGGAATTCAGGAAGGCTTCCAGTTCGCTTTCAAACCAACATCCTTTGTTCCTAATGATAAAGAGAAATGAATAAGGTGCGGAAAATATTTCGCGAGCCAGATAAGAGACATTTGCGGGACACGCGCGCAACACACCCGGTTATGGGATATTCTCGCGTGCGTAACGTATTCTCATTGATTGATTAACTTATATCTAAAAAATAAGACGAAATACCGCGGGCGCACGAAATAWAAAAGCCAAAATGATTATCGTTACAATTCTTACCAGTCTATTTTCCACTACTTGGTTCGTCTACGCCGCGCGCGCATCGATAAAAGTGGGTCCAGCTCTGGACTAACGGAGCTCAGGGGCGCGCGCAAATTTATTTATTTAGTTATTTATTAGCTTCGTCATATATAATTGTATGATTTTTATATTTTATATTTTATGACCGCAAAAAAAATCTATGAAAGGAAACCGCAACAGCGTTAAGCCAATTACTGCGAGCCCAAATAAACGTCTTGTTACAACTAATTAATTAATAAGAATAAGAAAAATTAATCATGTGTTAGTTTTTACATTAAATACCTAACAACAAGAGAAAGCGAGAGCAAGGGTTCGGCAAGAGTTCCATTTTAAACAAAATCAGTCAGTAAAATTACTGACTGGAGAATCAAAACAATGGTTTTTCAACGCTTTAGTGATTTCCGAGAACAATGGAGGTAATATTATGTGTAGTGGTTATCATCGTCCGGCGGAATTTCTTTAAAAATATGAAGTAATTATTACTTGCATCCGGACGGGACGCGGTAAAAAACGCTTGCACAAAAAAACTAAGGGACGGATCATTCGATTTTGAGAGGGTGGGGGGTTTAGCAATTTATTTTGTGCATAAATTTTTTTTACGCCCCATGGCTGTGCAGGAAATTTTTTTTTTTTTTTTTGACATAATTTGGAATTTTTTTTGCCAATTTTCTTATGCACGATTTTTTTTCACTTTAAAGCTCCCCCTCAAAAACCTAATGGTCTGTCCCTAATGTAAATCCTCTTTTTCCTGCGCCCTTATTCCCAGGAAACTGCGGTCCCAAGGATTTTTTTTGGGCGCACACAATATTGACAGCCCTTGTCATCGCAAGAGGACAATAACCTCTCTCCACTAGCTTTTTCAACTAACTTATTCACCGACTTATCAAGGGTGCGTCCCCCCGCAACCACAACACAGACCAACGTTTTTTAGGTTCTTTTTAGGGGATTGTCTCCCGGTTCAACAGCCTATCCCAATTTGGAGGCATAATACCAACATACTAACAAATCACTCATGATTGTAAGCTGCACGGCTGCTACTAGCGCTTTAATATGCAGCCGTAAAGTCCTCCACTGATCTTGTCACTGATCTTGACATTGAGCTCCTAGAAATCCAACAAGGTTTGTTCTGTCATCGAAGGACAGCTTGTTACTAACCGTAATACTCTAGCTTTCTCTTCTATCGTCTCAAGCCTCTTGATCTCACTATCCAAGGCAAGGATCTCGTCTTCTAGATCCTCYTTGGAACGAAAAACTAACGACTGCAGCCGGGTGAAGGTTGAAGTCAACTCCCTAGATATCAAAACAAAACGAATTATAACACATCAGAAAGAAAAGAAAACAACAGAAAAATATCAGCCTAAAGGTGGCTTTACACGAGACGATTTTTAGCGTTGAAATTTAACCTCATGTAACATGACGGGCGGTTAAAATTTTAAACGATATTTTGCTGCAACAGTATGTTGCAGGTTTTTAAACGACGTTCAAAATTCACCACGTCGTTGCTATCGATTTGTGTTGCCGTGCGCGCGATGTTACACTATGTCAACTTTCAATGCAACAATGTTACGCTAAAAATCATCTCTTGTTGCATCATGTTGACTAGACCTAGTTATTCTAGATGCCAGTGACAAGCAAAAAAAAAAGGGGTCTTTCTTAGTGTAGCAAGTTTTATTGTATTTTGAGTTAGGGTTTTTGTTTTGCAGGATATTGTTTAGCTCAAAATTAATAATCCTTAGCTATTGCATTAAAGAATACGACACATCTAGAGTCGAACAATCTAACCTTCTCAGCTTGGGGGAATAGACTATATTTTGGGTGAAATTTTTCCCCATTTCAGACCACGTGTCATTCTCTTGAGAATAAGATTCTTCGTTTAAGTTGCATCCATTATTATGTGTCTTCACATGCACAACCGTTATACAAAGAAATCATATTAGTGGGAATGATATGTGGTCTGAAATGGGAAGACGTTACGCCCAAGGGGCATATTGGAATGATTCTAGCAACTGTTATGACCTTTATAAAGCTTCTTATTAGTCTGTTCTCCGCACGGAAGCACTGCGTAGAATAACTATTCTATTGGAATATTTCTAGCGCCTGTTATGACCTTTACAAAGCTTCTTATTAGTCTGTTCTGCCCACGGAAGTTCAGCGTAAAATAACTATTCTATTGGAATATTTCTAGCAATTAATATGACCTTTACGAAGCCTCTTATTAGTCTGTACGTCTGTGCACGTAAGCAATGCGTAAAATAACTAGAGTAAGGGAACTATAAGTAGACAAATGCCTGTGACACTCTTATGATAGGGTGCTGAAGTATTATAAGTGTTATAGAGTGTAGCCTTTGCATCTTTCTTTGAGAATCGTATTGATCTAGATTGCCAGGTATGCTAGAGTCTCACAAAAAAAAACCCGCACATCGATAAAGCGCACTTGAAACCATACTTATTGTCTGTAAGACTTGACGCGCCAAGTGGGTGGCTTAAAACGAGATGATAGCAATAGGACGAGACGTACTGACTGACAGTTAACGTCAGAGAGTAATAATAATAATAATAATAATAATAATAATAATAACAATATATTAAATTTATATAGCGCTTAAACTATAACAT